AAAGGAGTGGGGCCTTGAGAATAAGGTATTTACGGTTTCTATGGATAATACATCATATAATAATACATGTTTAAGGTTTTTGAGAGAGATGTTTTCTAAAAATAAGAAGTTCCTTTGTGATGGGAAATTGTTCCATGTGTAATGTAGTGCACATATTTTGAACTTGTTGGTTCAAGAGAGTTTTGGGGAGTTTAGTCACATCATTGAAAATGTGCATGAAAGTGTTAAATACATTAACCAGTCTGAAGTTGAGAAACAAACATTTTTTAAAATTTTACAGCAACTATAACTTGGTAGAAAGAAGTTGGTTATTGATTATCCTACTCGTTGGAATTCAACATTTGTGATGTTGTCATGTGCTTTAAACTTCAAACATGTGTTTTCAATATTTTAAGAAAGGGAATTGGTGTGTCTAAAAGCGCGTCGTTAAACACTTCGGAACACCAGCTTAAACATTTATAATTTTTCCAACTCTCAAACAACTACTAACATAGTAAAGGGATGAAAACGGGTCGTATCCACAGGATCTCTCCTTTGACCCTCAAACACAGAAAGAAACGAAATAAAAATATGTAATCCGATTAGAGGTAGCAGTCTCCGGATTTCCCCTTTGACCCTCGAACTTCTCGAGCTAGACCTTCCGTCTTATCTGACCGAATTACAGATTTGTAGAAAAGAAAATGAAGATCAAACAGAATGAAATAAATGGCAGAAAGGAAATAACGAAACTGGAATTGAAAGAGCAAAAACTAAAACTAAAATAAAGTAAAAGTGCTTGGGATCCGATTCCAGACGTGGCAGTAGTGGTGTTGGCGAACTGCAAGTAGGAACCCCTCCTCTTGCTTGGGCGTTCTCCTCTTCCTCTACCCTTGAACTTCTCAAAATCAGCCTTCCGTCTTACTTGGGGGCAGAATCCAACCCCTTCTACAAGGCCCCTAGGACCCTTTTTATAGAGAATGGTGGACACAACTGGAAATAGGAAGAAAGATGGGGAGTGGCAGCTAGGATTTAGCAAAGTTAGGGATGCCCTAGGGTTTCTAATGGATGGCTAAGATGGTTTTGGGGTGATCCTATGGCTGAGAATGAAAGGAAAGGGCGCTCGATATTATGTAGGGTTGAGATTTAGGCACCCGAAAATGGAGGGTGTAGATTAGAACATATAGGGTTGAACGGTTAAAATTAAAAGAATAAGTGGCGCCCTAGATTGAATGGTTGGGATATAAGATGGAGAAAGTGGCTGAGATTTAATGGTAGGGGAGCTGAATGGTGAGGATTAGCATAATAGGTGGCGCCCTAGGGTTTAAAAGCTATAAAGGAAAGCCCAAAAATGGATGGTGTAGATTAGGAGTGGATGGTGGAAATTACATAGTTGGGGCAGCTAGGGTTATCTAAGGAGGAAAAGAATAGGTTAAAAAGGCTCCCTAGGGTTTGCTAAGGAGAGGGGAGCATGGTAATACAGTAAGATGGGCGCCAACTGGGTTTAGCAGATAGGAAATGCCCTCTTGTTCTCAGTTTTTCACAAAAACACCCCTTCTCTCAGCTGGTCTTCACACCAGCTTCCCAAAAACTGCACTTCAGCCATGAAAACATCTCAGTTTTCTACATAATTTGCATAGAGACCCTTAGAGGTCACATAATTAATTTTAACTGGAAAACCCTAAATTGATGCACTTAAGGCATCAAAATGCAGGGTTATCACACCCCCCAACTTAACCATTGCTATTCCCTTTGTAATCCAGACTTAAAATTACACTTAACATAAATCCTTCCCATCTCAAGATCATCCCTAACAGAATTAATCAACCATCCTGATTCCAGCATTCTCAAACTCTGTATAGATCGGTATTGGGCATTAGGGATAAAACTATCTTGTTTTGAATATTACAAAAACTTGGCTTGAAAAATCTTATTTATCCTTTCATTTGCAAACTGTCTTGTTAAGATGAGATTGATTTTAAAATCGGACAGGTATTCTTCTTATTATTTCTGAAAGCGGATTTCTACTCCTGAACTTATTTTTATTATTACCTTTCACCGTTTTACGTGAATCCCAACACTTTCCTTAGGTGAAGAGACCTGGTTACTAAGTGTTAGGTAAGTGTTTTTGGCATTTCCTTTTCCGTTTGACGCGAATCTCGACACTTGACTTAGGTGAAGAGACCTGGTTACTAAGTCTAGGGTATCCATTGACCTTTTATCCCCTTTTTTTTAATTTTTTTTTCTTTTTGCAACACTGTTCAGGGTAGTCCATTGTCTCTTAACAATTTAAAAAATTTTGTCTAATTTCTCAATCTTTCTCTTCCTATCTTGATAGGGACAAACTTAGGAGTATTTTTCAATTTCCAAACAGTTTTGACAATATTCAAACAATACCAATTTTGACTCCTATCACTTGCTACCAATTTCTATAGAATTCAATATTCTTTTATCAGTTTCCTTAACTTTTTCTATTTGGGAATCACTTTCAATGGAAAATTTTAAAATTTTCAGTGAAATTTTAATTCTCCATCTTTAAAGGCTTAGCTTCACAAATTTTTATTTTATCAGTTTCCTTAGCTTTTTCTTTCTCTTTCCTCACCCCCCAACTTAAATGCCATTATCCCTAATGGTATGACTAGAATGATGCAAAGAAGATTTGGGCCAAAATTACGTTGGGTTGCCTCCCAACCAGCGCTAAGTTTAATGTCTTCAGCTAGACACAACTATTCATCTCTCTCATCCAAACTCTCATACTCACTTTCGTTTTCATACCAACCAGGACCAGATTGGGCTAACAAAGGGGTAGATAGGTCATTCACTAGATTGTCCACTATGTCCACACTGCCTTCATCTTCCCCTAGGTTTGGATACTTAGAGGCATTAAAAAATTTAATTGGACCTTTTGTTCCCCAAATGAGATGTCCATTTCCCCCGACTTACAGTTGATATTTGCATTAGTCGTTACTAAAAACGATCGTCCTAAGATTATCGGGTTGTGGTTCAGTTCTTCGGTTGGGGTCATGTCTAGGACAACAAAATCTATAGGGAAATAATAGTTTTCTATCCTAACGATGACATCCTCGATGACAACTCGAGGAGTCTTGACTGACCGATCAGCGAATTGCAGAATTACTGGGGTAGGTTTCAACTCGCCGACCCTGAACCTTTCATAAATAATAAATGGAAGTAGGTTCACACTAGCCCCTAGATCCAATAAGGCCCTATCAAAGGTGATTCCAGAAATTATACACTAATAAGAGGAGCACCCGGGTCTTTCATTTTCCAGGAAAGTTGGTTCAGGAGGACCGCACTCACATTTGTTGAGAACATCACTTTTTGTGGGGCTGATCGTGGCTTCCTCTTTTGGGTGCATAGCTCTTTCAGAAACTTTGCATAAGTCGGGACATGTTGAATCGCATCGAGGAGCAGGATGTTAATGTATACTTGTTTGAAAAGTTCCCTGATCTCCTCATTGCGAATCATTTTCTTTTTCCGCAACGGCCCGGCTGTGAGTGCGCTAGGAAAAGGGACTACAGATTGGTTTACTTTAGGCTCTTTTTCTAAGTTTT